TTGGGCCGATTTAACAATTTGTTTCTACTCAGTTTTTCATGCTGAATCTGAAAAAATTATTTTCAGAAGCTAAAAAAAAGAGCAACGTAGGAAATTTTACACATTTTTGAAAAGATGTCGTTTTTCTCAAAAACTGATATCCCTCAAGTATTTCGTATTTTTCGATCGGAAGGAAGCATTTGCTGAGGCTAAAAAGTAAATTTTCGTGATCAGCAGCTCTCGCTCTATCAAATGATGTGGAAAAAAAAGGCAAAAAAATTTTTACTCGAAGTTTGAATTGCCTGCACCTTACTATCGCTGAACTTTTTCGATCATACATGAAGTTAATTTGAATGTTTAAATATGAGGATTTTCAAATATTGATTAATCCATCTTTGTAACATACTTTAAACTTTGAGAGAAGTAGAAAATATATGTCCGATAATATCGAAAATGAAAATTCGGAATCATCTTGAATGATTTCCTCTTAAAATACGTTTGATTATAAGAATTTTCTTAAAATGTATGATACAATATAAGATAGAAATTCTAGATAAAATTGCTACTAATTTCTTCACTAAGACAAAGAGAAAAACTCAATCTTTTTCTAATATCATTTTATATTTATGTTACGCTATTTCGTATCATGTTACATAATGTATTATAACAATTAGTCTGTCTTGTAGTCATTTGAATATCCACCGTAAGATTGATGATGAGTTAAATATTTTCATAATCTGATCCATACGTACAAATATTGTCTTGTTCCTATTTTGCGTTCTGTTCAATCGAATAGACATGACCCATATCGTACATTTATTTGAACTAACGCCAGTATACCGTCGGTTGTCTCGAGTAACGTGATATACCGACGGTTTTCTTGATTACAGTGGTAAAACCATTACATTATCGAACTATGTTTTATCATTCAGTTTCTATGATATATCAGAAAAATCTGATTTTTTTTACTAGTTATAGTATTCATAGAAGGCTAATGATCTGCCAAGGATAAGGGATTTATCTCTTGTTTGAAACCAAAATGATTGAGTATCTTCGCAAAATCTGTTCATAAATATCAAAGAAATTTTCTCGAGTCATTCAATTATTTTGGTTTTGTTACGAGCATTGCTCTCACAGTATGTTTTTCTTTTTCCATGGATGTGATATCTTCGATCATACATCATCATTTCTTTCTTTTCATTGAAACGCTCGATGCGTGTGATCATATATAAATGCGTGTTTTTTTTTCTCTTCTTTTTGGTTCATTATATAACTTAGTTGTTATACGTGTGCGAGGACATTTTTGATTGAGTAAAAAATAAAGGACAAGGTCAACCATTGTTTTTTTTTCTTTAATAGGTTTCAAACAAGAGATAAATCCCTCATCCTTGGCAGATCATCAGCATTATACAAGTACTATGACGAGTAAAAAAAAATCAGATTTTTCTAATGTATTATAGAAGCTGAATGATAAAAAAAAAAACATCGGGACATCCGATCAGACTAATCAACCCCATATATATATTTTTTTCTTTCATAACGTTCTTTGTAATTTGGGTGATTGTGAACATTGCAGTAAAGAGTAAGTGTTTTTTAAATAAATTATTATTTTTATATCATTGTTTTATTGACGAAGATTTCAATATCAAAATAAAAAGTATCTATTCATGAAAAATATTATTATTCTATTGATTGAGACCAGCCTGAATGTCGTAACCTACAAAAATATTATTTTTTTGTTTTATTCTTTTATTTAGAATAATCTTAAAACCGACAAATTAAGTATTTTTTTTTTTATCAAAAATTATTTTATTTTTATTCTTCTGGACATTATCTAGTCGAAAAATATGAAGCAAAAACACATTATTTATCATAAAATCTACGATCTGTTGTCTTGTGAATCTAAGAATGAATTTATATTATTGCATAACAAAAATTGATTTTTATTTTTACTTTATTATTAAAGAAAATATTTTTTTTTATTTTGATTTTGGTATTATAATTTGATGATGAACGAAATATAGCTTTTTCTGAGAAAAGCAATTTAGTAAGAGTTAAAAATCAATTGTCTGTTTTCGGTCAAGAGACAGGCGAATCAGTAGATTCGTACTCTGATCCTACGAGTAAAAGATGAAATTATCGTCGGTAGAGCGCACATAATACCGAACGATCAATCGACAGTACATCGTCAATTTTTTTCCGGTTCAAATCACATGAGGATTATCGTTATCATCGAAAGATTAAAAAAAAATGACCATTGGTTACTAATCTTATTTGTGACCCTCTCTAAGCGAGTATGGAGAAAAAGGTCATCGTTGAATTTATTTTACTATTTATAGTAGTATTTTACTTTTTCCTCTCTCCTGTACATATATATATATGCATATGTATATTTTGTGTGTAAGCATCATTATTTGCGTTCTCTGAGTAGATTGATATTGTTCGTTATGCCTTCAAAATCAAAGAAAAAGAGTCAAGGCCCAACTCTTTATACAAAATTTATCAATGCTTATATGAAAGCTCGACCTAATGAAAACCGAGCTGTAAGCTCCTTAATTCATTAAAACAAAACGAAATTTTTTTTTTTTGGTGTTTTAAAATAGGACAAATATAATGGTGCAAAACTTGAATGGAAAGAAATAAAATGGAATGAAGAATATGTTAAAGAAAAACTTGAACAATATTTAGAAAAATATAATGAATTTGCAACATCTTCAAAGGAAGATATTGAACGTCCATTATCACCTTCTTTTTCAACTCAATCAAAAATTAATTATTACCAACCGAAAAAAAAATCTAAAATTGATCAATCTAATGATAATAATGAAAATATCACAGATGATAAACAATCACAGAATTTTGAGGATATAAATAAAGATATTTTCGAAGATGATGATAATGATGAAGAAAAGAAAAAGAAAAAAGCTTATTGTATTAAAAAACGTAAAACAATCGAAGAAGAATTACTATATGAATATCCAAAAGAATTACCAGGTGCAACTGGTGGTCCATTTCAAGCATTAGTAAAACAAAAAAAAACACCAGCACAAGAACGTCTTTTTCAAGCATTAAGTTCTATTAATGATCGTATTGCTGCATTAGTACAAGTTAGACAAATGGGTTTATCAACATCAGAAAATAGAAAACAATTAAAACAATTAATAAAAGATAGAAATAAGAAATTTTATGAATTAAAATATCTTCAATCAAAACAAATATCTTCAACTGTACATCAAGTTAAAAAAAAACAAATTGTATAAACAATTCTTTTGTTATTTTCATTTAAAAGTTTTTTTTTTTTTTATTTTCTATTTTTCTAGGTTCAACATTTATTTGAAACAAAACCTGAATTACATCCACAATTAAAAAAACTTTATCGTCGTAGTGCTGGCCGACCACGTGTTGAAGAAGAATGTCCTGATTTATTACAAATTATTGAAGAAATTGTAAAAGTTGGTGGAGCAACTGATGATCGAAGATCATCAGAAATTATTCGACCTTGTTTAACATTAGATGATTTAAGAGAAAAAATTAAACAAAGAGGTTATGATATTAAACGTACAACACTTTATTATCGGTAAATTAACAAAATCTTCTAGAATAATCATCATGATGTTTATATTCGCTTTTAATCAATATTTCTCGACAATTATTTTAAGTTCTATGATGATGAAATTTTTCACTAAATTGGTTCCGTCTCATATTTGTAAACATGACAAATAGATATAGTCTCACTCTCAGAATGCTTGAAGTCGAACTCATGAAGTTTAACAGATGAAATTTCATTATCTGATCTTGATACTTATTTTTATTGATCAAAAAATGATTTCTAATTAAATTTAAGTTCACCTGTACATTTACAACAAATTTGATTATAAAATAGATTAAGATTGAATATGAGCAATCTCTGTGAGACAGAAGTCTAAAAAAATATAGTCAGAATTATTAGGTAGTTACTTTTGTTTCAGTGCATTTTTTATTTGAATCTAAAAAAAATAAAATAATGAATAAATGAGTCATTCTAGTGTCTATTGTACCGTTTCTTTTGAAAAAATGATCAAAAATAAAAGTAAACGGCTGCACTTAAAAGTATCACTATCTGATAGAGAGTACTTCGAAGTATAAGAAAAAATGGTTTTGTAAACTACCACTCTTTTCTTTTGTCTGATTTAGAGACCGAAAGATTTTTAGGAGCTTATCAAAGGACTTTTTGTCCCTTTTTTGACTGAGAAATGATGGCATACAGGAATTAACATGATTTTATAGGTTTCAAAATATTTCCTTTTGAGTTACATATCCAGAAAAAGTAATTAAATAATTAATTTTTGGCAAATTTTTGTTTTCGGATTTTTTTCTCAGATAGAAGAGTAGTAGCCGCTAGAGGATGGGTCAGTTCACTGTATTTTTTTAATATCTTTCTTCAGAAATGAGGTAAAGCCTTGATATTTATAACACAAATTATGGTGCCTAATTGACATTTATGATAAAAAATTAGCTCTTAATTCCTTGTAGTTTGGTCAGTGGATCGGCAAAAGGGGTGGAACACATTGTATGTCACATGCTCATTGGCACCACTAAGATGTAAATTATTCAAAAAAAAAAAAAGTTAATAAGTTTTGGTTTTCATCAATTAATAGCGGTGAGTTTGGTGAATCTTTTGATGGAAGAAGAGTTGACTTAAACTCTTTGTTAGATCCACAACTGGCTCAAAAGAGGGTGGGACAGGTTATTCCCTATTTTCAGGAACCGTTGATAGAAGGTCAAATTTCTGTGAAACGAC